GTAGTTTATTAGAATGGTGTGATTGCCTACTAGTGGCACTAGTAATGCTAAAACATGAGTAAGTTAAGAGAATCAATTTTTGAGTGAGCCCCAGTTGCTCTATTAGTTTGCTGAATTGTCTTAATAGTCAGGGCAAAGAGCTAACTAGTAACTGGATAACAAGAATGTGGAATAAATGCTTGAACAGCATTCCATAATTGTGAGTCTTGCGTCCTCAAACCCATCCATGTTCCCCACTTTTTATTTTATTTATTTATTTATTTTTTGCTGCAAGAGAGCTGGCCCTTTAAACCTCCCTCACTACCGATCTGCCTTTTAAGGTGTTGCATCCGGTCAGGTGACAAACTCGTGGTCACATGGTTTGCCATAGAAATGCCTTGAAATGACTCAATGCAAAGGTCTGCATCGTTTGGGGGGTGGTGGGGTGGGGGAGCTGGCATTGTAACACGCTCATTACGATACCCGTGCGAGCGCGTGTGTTTTCCAGGGTGTCCAGGTGGGTTTACGTAATAAGGCAAGCCGATGCTGTGCGGATTGCACGGCGCTTTGCCCGCTAGGCAACGAGTGGAGAAAAAGAAGGGGAAACGTCTGCGCTGAAGAGCGGGCAGATAATTCCGTCCGCCTTGTGCCGTAAATCACACGCCAAAGTCTTTTTCCCGCGGATCAGAGGTCACCGCTTTCATTTTGCCAAGATAAATCACCTAGCGCTTGCCCCCCCACGTCCCCAATTCGAGCTGTTTAATTGGGCGCAGTGTTCATCAACGTTTGTGTGCACATAAAAAGAAAAAACAGAGAGGAAGCGACTGCAGGCTTGCAGATTGCGCACTAAAGCATGTGGGGTGGATGCTCTGCTCATTTCTCAAACCTGCTGTGAGTCACACAGGAGGATTTTCTTCATAAAAGGGGAGTACGTATCGTCGTGCGTGTATGTACGCATTAATCACTCGGAATCATCCTAGCCGTGGAATTCAAGCGGCACAAACACGCCGGGCAGGGTTTCAGCTCTCCTGGCACGTGTATCTTATTGCTGTCATTCATGAAACCAGAGGTTATCAACTGGTGGGTCGGGACCCAAAAATGGATCGCAGACAGAGGACAAAAAATTACAGGGAGCCCTCGGTTTACGATTGCACTATGATATCGTCAAAAGTAATGGCTGAAGTCATATTTTGACAAAAACATTTTATTTTATTTTTTTTTTGCCTCAAACATCTCCTCAGGATGCTGGCCTCCTCTGCTAAAATCGGCGACATTCTGCGTTTACACTTTCATGCACCCTGTAACCTGATAACATGATAAACTGTCACTGTAGTAACCGCTGTCACTGAAAGGGTGAAACATGTCATTCATTTCCACTTCTGAGATGAAACGACTAATATATTTAAACTAATCAGTATTTGGTTCAATTTTTCAAGATTTCTGACAAAAATAAAAAAAGTGTCATTGTTTTTAGAGGGTGCCAATAAGACATTTCATCAATACAGATGGTGTAAGAATCAAGGTTATTATAGTTATAGTATAATGAACGAAAGGCATAAAACGGAAAAAGCGTTTTTGTCCACGAAATAAAATAAAAAATGAAAATAGTAACCGAAACTACATTTTACATTGATAACACTAACTAAAACTAGCTATAAGTGCGGTGATGAAGTCCTTCTTTTTCGTTTTTGTCAACTAACATCAGGCATGAGCTTTTGGGGTTCATTTTACTGGACAAGGCATGTCAAACAGCTGTTTAAGAATTGTAGATTAGATCACTTTATTACACAATAGTTTTGTTTCGTTTTTTTTTTTTTTTAATCTTGCACTCAACAAATATATCACATCTATATTCCTGATGCCGGTTTTACATCAGGAAAAGCATATTTTGAATTTGACGACAAATTTAGACGCTCCGCTCGAGTGCCTCTGTGCCTCTTTTATTACATAACCGCGAGACGAGTATACCGCTATGCTTCTTCATCTGACTGCATGGAGTGGTAAATTCATCCGAGCAGAGAACATTCCAGATTCAGGCCAAGGCTGCCAGTGTTGCAACATGTGCTCCCTCATGTGTGCCATGATCAATATGCTTACATCTTCCTCTCAAGCTGCTTTGCAAGCCCCGCCCCAAGCACCACTCTGGTTGGCTCCATTGGAGCTTTGTGGCTTGCCGCCCCGCAAATCCACAAACTCAAGAGGTGATTGTGCTCTTTTGATTTTTAGTTCCACTCTCGCAACTAGGTAAACCTCTGTAGGTTGGAGTGAGATAGTATCATTAAAAAGAAGTGAGCTACTCTTGCGTGTAATTAAGTGTGGCTGAGCTTGCTGTGCGTGCCTCGCGGACAGTCTGCAACGCATTGCAGATCCTGCTCGGTTATATCAGGAAGCTTGCTTGCACTGACACATGACAGGGGATTAGCAAACATTTTGGGAATAAAGTTACATTTTGGTTGGGAAAAAAAGTTGTCATATTAATTAGAGATGAAAGTCCTCCGGATTTTCCCGGAATTCCGGATTTTTCAATTTTCATGAAATTTCCTCTGGAGAATTGAGGGAAAATTGCCTAAAATTAATCCGGATATTAGTTGACAACATTGAATGAACACGCGTTTTAGTTTGTTGTTTTGTTTCACAAGCAGAGCCATGTTGAGGCACGAACACTAGTAACAGTAACACCCCTCCCCTCACATTCTCATGGCCTCGCTATATCTTGGAGATTTCAACATTTCGGCGAGAACGGAAGCCACCAAGGGTGCACGTGTGCACACAAGAGGCAGATTAATCATTGAATGTCATGTATTTTCCGGAATTTTCAGGAAAGTCCACTTTCATCTCTAATTAAACAAAGATGTTTTTTCTGGAGATACAAAGTACAAATCTGACAAGGGTAAGTAAAGTGGTACTATTAAGATCTTTAAGTCTTTCGTTTAACAATGGGAGAAAGACATAATATAATATGAATCTCTTTATTGTATGTGCATATATATATATATATATATATATATATATATATTCTCAGAGAAGAAACAAAAATGAAAAAAACAATGTAAAGGCCGGATTTTTTTCAGGATAAAAAGTCATAATCTTGTGGGAATGAAGTTGTATTCTTTTTAATGAAGTCATAAAATATTAATATATTTAAGTCAAAATGAAATACAAAAATACAAATATTTATATTCTTAATATTACACCTGATATCAAACTATTTTCTTGTAAAAGTGAGTTTAGGAGCTTCGTGTTGACCGAAGTCATGTTTCGCGGCCGACATGGTGACAGGAAAGTATGTTGAAGCAAGTTGAAGAGCTTAATTTACACCAAAGTAGTGCTTTGGTGCCATCTTGTTGAATTTGACAACATAGTCACTTGGCACCAAGTGACTATGTTGTCACATAGAGCATATTTGACAATAAAAGTTGACTTGACTTGAAGTGAGTTGAGAAGTTTCATTTTCACTCGAGTAGAGCTTTGCCTCCATCGTGCGACATCTTGGGGCCATGTTAAAGTGAGTTGAGGAGATCCACTTTGACAAAAACGTTACTTACGTGCCACCTTTTGGAACTTTGGTGCCATATGACTATGTTTAGATGAATTTAGGAGCTGCATTTAGGGAAAAATGATGTGGCATCAAGCCATGGTGTCAAAGAACTATGATGACATGAGTTTTAAGAGCTTCACTTTGACCACAGTGGTGCTTTAACACCATCTTGGGCATCTGTAGGCAATTATAAATCTTTTTTGGCTATCAAGTCGGATTTTCTGTTTGTAATTGGTTTAGTATGTTAGTTTTATTGACACACAAGTCCCCATCTATTGGAATGCACCTTTTAAATTACTGAATACTATATATTGATTTCCTGTGTATTATTACTTTGAAAATTAGTAAAGAAGTATGAATTCTACTGCTGTACAGTTCCCATCTATTGACTGTTCCACACAGGCTATGTTCAAATGTATCCCTCCTTCACATTTCAGACACACCCGGATCTACCCCTTCACATTAATAAGTCATACCTGCAGGGTTTTAATAGTGTCATTCCCTCTCTCTCTCAAAAAAAAAAAAAACACCTTTGTGTCACGATGCGTCATGTGTGTATTTGATCAATTCATGAAAGCTACACATGCAGTCTCATTGCATTACTGCAAAAAGAAAACAAAACAACCACAAAAAAAATGGCTGGCTGGTCAAGCTTCACAAGCGAGTGCATTTCTTCCCCCTCACACACGTACACACACAGATACGCACCCCCCCCCCCACACACACACACACACGTGCATACACGCTCTCCATCCATCCATTCAGCCGTACGGCCACCCACTGCAGGGCCCAAGCGTGTAATCTTGTTGCTACACGTGTGTTGATGTCATCGCTGTGAAAGGAAGATATCCTGCCACCCATTTTATGCATTTCTTCAAGCAGGCTTCGGGAATAACTTGATTTTGGTTCATATTTGACGTAATCACAGACACAAGCAGAAATATGATTTCATAACAGTGCATCCTTGCAGTAGAAAAGTCGGTGATGATGTGGAATAGGGTTAATAGCAGTGCAGACAGGCTATCAATATATTTCAAAAAGACCGGTAATTCATAATTTCATATCGACAATCATATTTTTGATGTGTACATGGAAAATGAACAGTATGGTGCAGTATTATGAGGCAACCGTTGTTTTTGTTAATTCCAGGTTTCTTCTCATGAATTTCCATGGAAAGTTTCCTCTTTTAAAACCCCCAGAATTTTGCAACCCTATACGCAGTCACGTGTTCGAACCTTTTTTCAGTCATAGCAGTGACGTTGAGGTGCGCCTGTCCCTTTAAGAGCATCGAGCGGATGCTCTCTGCTGCTGCCGCTGCTGCTGATGGCTGCACTTGCAGCTGATTGGCTGAGGCCATGGAGTTGGGGGTGGGGGGGGTCGCTTCGAGGCGAGAGGGATGCTGCTACGTAGTTGAGCCTCCCCCACCCCCTCCCTCCCTCACTCCCTTCCTCCTGGCTGTCGCTCTCTCTCCCTCGTCACAATCTCCTCCCTTGCTCGCTCGCATCCTCGGAATAATCCACATCTAGGGCAAGCTGGCTGAGAGGCGATCACAGCTCAGCTCCTCTCTGCAGCCTGGGAGAAGAAGAGGCGGCACTAACCCTTTTCAACGCAGGGGGAAAAAGAAGAGCAAATTTTGAGCGCACAGGAAGACACGGAGGGTCGAAGAGCAAGATTTTTCCATCGGAGGACACTGTTTATTTATACATATTGTTTATATAGCTATATATATTTGTACACACGCTTATAGATATTTATATATAGATTCAATTATCCTTGTACATATCTGTACTCGTGCTCGTCTGTTTATATTCATATTTTTATATGTATTTGTGTGTGTAAATATATATAATGTATAAGCAAAACATATATATCCATATATATGTCCATATATATGAATTTATATGCGCATCACTGTGAACCAAGAGGATTCTCATCTCATCAGGGCTGGTCTCTGATTGTGATCGTATACAATATTTGATCTTCTACGCTCAAGAGGACAAAGACGCCGTGCCCATTTTGTAGTTTTTCTTTTACTGTTGCGGCATCCCGTCTCCCTCTCCATCTCCATTTTTTTCCCCCCCTTTGCTTCGCATCCGAGAAGCTGAGAGCGACGGGATTTGACAAAAGAGGGCGGGAAAAACTCTCTCAAATTCCTGTGATTAGTGCGCTTTTCCGCTGGCATCTGTGTTCCGTTTAGCCCATCGCGGCGCCGTGTGACATCAGCCCAGCGTCCGCCCAGCCAGCATGCACAAACACCACCACTGCTGCAAGTGCCCAGAATGTTATGAGGTGACCCGCATGGCGGCCCTGCGCAGGATGGACGCCCCGGCCTATGGAGGAGACTGGCAGGCCGAGCCCTACGGATACCCGCCCGGGTACGGAGGAGGCCAAACCTTACCCGCTCCGGCCTCGGGGGGAGGAGGCAACATGGGTGGAGGAGGAGGAGGAGGAGGAGGTGGCGGCGGCGGAGGAGGAGGTGGAGGTGGAGGGGGCACCTTAGGGAGAAGTAAGGGCAAGATGATGTCTGGCGGTGGGCCTGGAGGCCCCAATCCTAAGGGCCAATCCAAAGGGGGTCCCAAAGTCAACGGCAACAACTCAAGTGGACAAGGAGGATGGTGGCCTGAGTGCACCTGCACCAATCGGGAGTGGTATGACCAGGTAAGATATGCTTGGGGTCCTCATACCCATTCATTAACACTCCTTCAATATAGAGGAGCTAGGATTGAGGTCTTTGGGTCTTGGCACAGCGAATGGTTCTGATACTGGTTCATTAACGCGCTTCAAATCTTGACGAGCTAAAATTGCGGTTTTCTTTGGGTCTGTGTGTAAGTAATGGTTCTGACACTTGTTCATTAGCCCTTTTCAAATCTCAATGAGGTAAAATGAGATGGTATGCTTGGGCTTTCAAGTTGGGAATAATGGTTCTGAGATGAGTTCATTCACCCTCTTAACAAATAAACGACGATTGAGATTTTCTTTGGGCCTTGGTGTAGGGAATAGTTTTGATAGCAAATCATGAACCCACTTCAAATCTAGACTAGCTTAAACTCAGGGTTTCTTTGGAACTTGGTATAAGGAATGGTTCCGAGACCTACTCATTAACCCTCTTCAGTTCTAGATTAGCTAAAATTGGATAAACTGTTCGGGCCTTGATAGGGAAAATTGTTCTGATGCCCATTTATTAACCCTCTTCAAATCTAGGCTCAAAACATACCTATTCCGGTCTGCTTAACGCCATTTATTATACTGTTGCTCCCTGTTGCGCATCTCATTTGCAAAGACACCCCCCCCTGCACAAAATTGTAATGTATTATTATTATTATCCCTCCAGTAAACCACCATAAATGTTCTTGTAATCCTTCCAGTTTGTCATCTCTTAGCCTTCCCATTGACTGTGACTGTGGTAGGCAGCAATGTGGGAAGGACAGAACAGGACTGATCCAGTTTGAGTGCACACATGGAGATCATGTTTGTGCATTTGATGACTAATGCTTATAGATTGGAACACGCCTTGGCTTCTGTGCTGATTCAGGTGTCGTAGGCCCGAAAAGAAAATGGTGCATTTTTGTCAGGAATGCAGTTATGTAAAGCTGAGAAACGCGAAACACTTGACCATCGCCTCGTGTCTCATTTGGATGAGATGATGAAATGCCATCACTTGCATTCGTATCGATGGACTCCATTTTATACGGTGACGATCCCGATTTAATGAATGTGTCCTCTGCAACGCTCACGCCTGTAAGCCTGTCATGCATCCAGCACAGATTATGAATGAAACCGCCGCGTTACATGCGTTACATTTTGGGTCATAGTGTATTTACATGAATGACAATTACAGTTAAGGGGAGGTAGGTGGGATTTAGACAAAAAAACAAAAAAAAAAACAAGCCGATGCTGCCTCTGAAGCATTAATTAAACAAGCTGCACGTATGTGAGCCGAAGCGGGGGGAAGGGCCGCGCTTGTTGAGCATGAGATTCAAAGAACGGCTCCTTGCCATGCATGAGTATGTGGCAATGTGGTGTGGAGCCGCCGCATCGTCCATTTTTTGGGGGAGGGGGGTTGTCTTTTTTTTTCATCCCATACGCCGCATTGTAAGATGTGTGCGCGAGGCAGTAGGAGCACGGAGGTGAGAAGAACATGAAGAAGAAGCAGCAGCAGTACAGGGGCAAAATGGAGGCTGAGTTTTTCAATGATGCCCCTGAGCAGAGACGCAGCCTGGATAGAGATAAGGAAATGCGGTGCCTTTTTCCCCTCTCCCCCATCTATATACTCTGCTTTTATTTACACATCACAACAGTGTGTGATTATGCAAGCAAGTACTGTGACTTAAGTCAAATGTGTAACTAATATCTATTGCTCATTTGAAGCCAACATTATCAAAAGCCTACTGAATTGTTTTTCTTTGCCAAACCCTAATCCTTGTGGTCATAAACATACATCATCAACCTCTTCTACCCATTGTAAAAATAATACAGCCTATATGGCAAGCACCTTTAACATTTTAAAAGCTCAGCTTTTCGATCTGGAATATGACGTAGAATCCAAAGGATGTTGGAATTTTCATTCAACATATGTGTAACGTCATTGTGACGAGACGAAACGACAACTAGCAATATCTGTAAGTCAAACATGAATGAAACTGCTTTCGGCAACGTCACAATGACATCATCTCTGATATCTCAAACTGAGTTGCAGACATCTGATAGTGAATTCCATATATCTGCAACACTGTTGTAGACATCTGTAACTCCAATTTCAATTATCTACAGTGTGATTTTGATTCGTCCAAATTTCAGTTCAAGATATCTTTAATTCACAGCATCAATATGGAGGCGCCCCCCTTTTGTTTCTTCCGCAGAGAGAGAGAGAGAGAGAGAGAGAGAGAGAGAGAGAGAGAGAGAGTGTGAGTGACACATACACATATATACCGGTATATATAGAGAGAGAGAGATGTATTATAGTTTTAAATGGGTGAAGTGCCTGATGTCAGTCTGACAAGTCAGAATCAAATTGTAGATATCTCAAAGTACAGTTTGAGATATCTACCACCCTGTTGCAGATGTCCAGTTCGACTAATCTCAACACGTTTGTTAGTTAACTCCGATGCAAATGTTCAAAATGCAAATTACAATGTCGGAAAAACATAGTTAAATCCAACATTACTCATTGAAACAAAAATACCCTCTCGAAATGTTTGTTTAGCCAAATCCTTTGGTGTCATAAACATACACCAAGAAGATTCTGCCCTTTCTAAAATCCATACAGCAAATACGCAATGTGCCATTCTATAAGGATATCCGTCAAGCTGGAAAAAAACATGCTGGAATTGTGTGTTGATATAGTGGGTTGGAAACAAGATAAATAAACCAATAAAGGCAGGCGCTGTGGCGAGGTGGAGGCGTTGGCGGTTGTGGTGGGTGGTTAGGTGGGGGGTGTTGGGTTATGTAAGAGGAGGGAGTCGGTGGTGCTGTCATAGAGGGAGAAGGCCTCTGACAGCGTGGACGAGCATCTGTCCCTTCATCCCTTCAAATCAAGCCAACCGTGTATGAGCGAGATGAACCCCGGCCCGGCAAACTGCTCATCCCCGGGAAATGTGGCGAGGAAGGAGCCCTCCTTCCTCTTCCACGGCTAACCTATAGCAAGCCTGGAGAGCGGGTTAGAAATCAAACACGCCCAAGCACATTGAATGCACTTTGGCTTTCATAACAAGTCGTGTGGCGACCGGAGGCAATAACCTTGCACCGTCACTCCCAACGTTTTGAGCAAGACATTGATAACATCATTGATGTTGTGTTCCGTCGTTTGTATATACTATAAAATGCCTCCTGCGCTATGAACGGTGAACCCCTGTAAATCCGTGGTATTTAAAGTTCCCCTATGCTGAATCCAAATTTAAATGTATTGAAGCACAACTATTTAAAGCACAGGTGTCAAGCTCGAAGCCTGGGGGCCAGATCCGGCCCGCCACGTCAGTTTATGTGGCCTGCGAAAGCAAATCCTCTGTGGCAATTTGCACGATCCATGTTAAAATCTGTACTGAAATGTCAAATTGTCATGTGTAATAATTAACATTGAGATGATTCGACCTCAGTGCAGAGGTACCAGGTTCGATTCCGGCTCCGGCCTCCCTGTGTGGAGTTTTCATGTACTCTCCGTGTCTGCGTGGGTATTCTCCGGGTTCTCCGGTTTCCTGCCACATTCCAAAAACATGCATGACAGGCTGATTGAACACTCAAAATTGTCCCTAGCTGTGAGTCTGAGCGCGGATGGTTGTTCGTTTGTCCCCTGCCTACTGCCCGAAGATCGCTGGGGTAGGCTCCAGCATGCCCCCGCGACCCTTGTGAGGATAAAGCGGGTCAGAAAAAGGTTGGATGGATGGATGGATATAATGACCATAGTCTACTATCTTGTTGCTCACATACAATACAAAACACTATCAAACAACTTCTACTTAAACACACATGGAACAGCATCGCTTTTCACAAAAGAGAATACCATAGTTAAACACCAACATATTCTACCACATTGTTAATTTTTTTTTTTTTGCCATATCCGAATCTGGCTCCCAAAAAAAAAAAAAAAAATTTGCATAGCAACACATAGCAAAAAAAATGGATGCTCCATGGCTAGACTACCTCAAAGCCGGGGCACTTATCTGTCAAGGTGCTACTGTGTATAAAAAAAGTAAGCCCACAAGCTAGTGAATATTTGTGTGAAAAAAAAGACTGGCTTGGGGAGAATGCTAAATGATGAGACAAAAAACAGAGCTGACAACTTCCAAGAAAATGAAAACTGCATTTAAGAGACGACCCTACTTAAAATACAAGTTTATGGCTGAAGGTGATTCTGACACACCAAGCCCACTCTGCTTAATTAATATGTCGACAGGCTTGCAAATGAGCCATGTGGAGCCTTTAAAAATGCTTTGGCAATATGGAGTTGTGTTCTGGATTCAAATCAAGGCAGAAAATCCAGAGGTTGCCAAAAAATAAAAAAATCCTTGCTCCCATTTCCATTTGTCAAGCAGGCTTTTCTGCAATAAGCACAACAAAATTACAGAGTAGACTCAAAGTAACAAACTTTAGGTGTCATTTTCTCCCCGGCATTTCAACCAACTACATTCAGCACACAATGCTTTCATGATTTTATTCCTTTCCTCTGTTTGTCAGTCGGTCCATTAAAATATTGCTTTCCATGAAACGGTCCATGGTCCAAAATAAGGTTGAGGAGTGCTGATTCAAAAGACAGGCTTTTTGAATGTAAATTTGAGGCCATATCGGCAGCTTCAGTCAGAAATCTCCCCTGGTTTTTCCCCCCGCGGCCGCCAATCTGTCTTTGTGCAGCTCTGTAGCTATGATTGCTCTTAAACATTCATGAGATGTTACTTTATTTATAACCAGCCAGGCTCATTCTCTCCGCCAAAATCCTCTTTTGTTTATTACCGGTCCTCCGTAGTGTTTGCATGTGGCTAGGTTTTCGATTAATTCACAGGCGCAGTGGGCGTTCCGTGTCGAACACTCCCATAGGTGATTACCACTTGAAAGCCCGGAGGCCTTGATCAGAAATGCTTGCGTGCGCACGCGCGCGCACGTCTTCCTCAGTCACATTGAGTTATCGTGTCACCGGCGCGTACATCCGTCTGATGAGATTTTGTCCG